AAAATGGATGACGGAGGAGACTCATCCACGACCTCCGACACAAAACTCTCCTACTCTCGCATGTTTTCGCTGTCCATAGTGTTCCTTGACAGGGTCGTTTCTAAGTCAACAATTTAGCACTACTTTGTCCCAATGGAATTTCCCATTTTGAACCTACTAGCACTAAGTTGCTAACTGAATAACAAGATGCTTCCGACAAATCGGCCACAACTAAACTTGCTTGCGAACCATCCGCCAAAACAATCCCGCCCCCTTGATAAACCACCAATCACATTCACTTTATTCACTCGTGTAAAGCCATGCACCACTCGGGAGAATTTGGAAATGCAACGGTTGGAACAGCCGCTTCCCTACGACTTTAATTGCAGCCCTACCTTTTATGTACTAAAAAAAAATTCAAATTTAAAAAAACCACACAAAAAAAAGCATCAACTAAGCGAAGGAGCGAAGCAATCAGAGTTCGTGAAAAAAGGGGAAAAGTTTTAGGTTGAATTTCTTGAAATTCCTCAGGTTGTTTCCAGCAGCCTCTAATGCTACATAAAGACGTTAAAAGAGACAGTTTTTTGGGGGCTTTTTATTTTTTTATTTTTTAGCATGTGGTGGTAATGGGATGTTATGAGCATCACATCGTTATCATGATCAGATTTGGATTAAAACAGATCCGTTTTGCCCAGAAAGGCTCAGAATAGCCGATACTTCAATTGATCTGAGACATTAGAGACAAAAACAATATAAGGAGTTTGATAAAGAAACATTATTCCACTGATTACAGACAGAGGACTGAATAACTCCTAGCATTAAAAAAACATGCATAATAGAAATGTTCCTCCTCTTAGACCATTTTATCTCTTTGAAGATTTCTATCTCATTTCTAATCAGAGCCAAACTTCTCATCTTAAACTGCAGGGTGTATAAATTATTTTGGCTTTACCGGCATACGAATAAAGCAGCTTTGGAGACCTATCAGCAGCAAGATATCTACTCCTCATTATCTCTCACCACTTCAAGAAATGCCAGAAACAGATAAAAGAGGCAGTCATTATTGAATTAGAAGAAGTAGTTCAATAAAACTGACCTGTCATAAATGATGTTCCCTCTGCATGATGACACGATAATGACTCCTGCTGTTGTTGCCATGAGAGCGTGGATGGATGACACCAGTCTGCAAAAAAAAAAGACAGAATTTACATTAGTTCAACATCCTAATATTTACTGCAATGCATCTGAAATCAAAGAACTGGGGTATCCATAAAAAAAAGCTCTGAATGAGTTTCTAAGTAGAGGCAAAGAGGTCGACCACTTCACCTTGTTGGAAACAGTGATAGATATATATATATATATTCCCCCCTGCAATTTTTTCCACTAATTGAAATGTATTTAAATACACATTAACTTGAATTCAACACACTAGTAAACAGATAAATGGAGGCAGAAGATGTCTCCGTCATCATGCACACATTCAGCGACACACAGGAGCTCTTTCAAGCTGGGAACCGTTTCATTCACAACACCCGTCCCATCTATGAGGAATCTGAATCAGAAATATTCTAATAATCCCAGGGCAAAATTATTTTCATTACATTACTCCAGCTGTAATAGTGACTATAGACCAGGGCTCTGCAACCTTTCACATCCAACGAGCCATTTTGCTTCGAGTACGACCAAGAAAAAGTTGTTTGGAGCCACAAAACATAACATGACTAAAAAATTAAAAAATAAATACTATTTATTTATTTTTTATTAGATTAGTTGCCATATTAAACAAATAACGATTTATGTATTTTAGCTTTTAAAATAATATTAAAACACATCATTTCCAAGCTAATTAAAAAAAAATGGCTCCTTAAACATATTTCTGGTTCTTTTCATATCATTATTTTCTATCTTATGAAAAACACTAAAGCTTTTAATACTGGTGTCTATTATAGTACAATATTGAGCTCTTTCTATACATTTTAGCCACTATTAAGAGCCGCTGGAGAGGAACCAAAGAGCCATGTGGCTCTGGAGCCGCAGGTTGCAGACCCCTGCTATAGACGGTTTGATATAACACGATTTCATAAAATATATATAATTAGGGGCTCCTCGGCCTGGAAAATATCGAAGACCCCTGCTTTAGAGGATTTCTACAGGTTTCCACTCATAGATAAATTCTGTTGCGAGTTCTTGGAATCACGGACCAAAGTCCATCAAAGCATGTCTGTTTGATCTCTAAACTCAGAACAAGCAGTTCAGCTGGTTTTCCATCAACCTGAATAAATAACAGCATTCCGCACAAATATAGTGCGATATATCTGATGAACTTATTTTTATAAAAGTTATTTATTTATTTTTTTAATAAATCACATTTAATGGATTTTAATGTCAAGCTGGTCTGGTCTGATCAGGGACGGACCAGGTTTTCTGCTCAGTGGACAAACCTGAGCAGCAACAGGTCACTGATTTATCACTATAAGAGCTCAGTCCGTGTCAGTCACAGAACATCCAGAGGGCAAGATGAGATCAGACCCAACATCTGGGTAAACTCAGACCTGAACAGCTTCTTCACTTAAAGACAGAGGAGTGTATCACCCCAGCCTTGAAGTCCTAACAGAGGCCCTTCCATATCTCAGAGGATAGACTTTAATACGTCTGTTAGTCTATAAATCCCTAAATGGCTCAGCACCAAAACACTTTACAGACTTGTTCTCAGTCTCTCAACCAGAGAGAGAGAGAGTGAAACAGAAAGAGAAAAGGACAAAAAAGATAGATAAAAGAAAGAGAAAAAGAGCAAGCATAGCAGAAAAAAATAATTTTCAAAGATGCTAAAAAAGTCCAGAGTGATAAGAGTTTATTTCCAGCTGTATGGACGTATAAAACAACCTCCTGCTGCACGCTGCTCGTCAGGGGCTAAAAAAAGGCTGCTCAGATCAGGGCTGGGCGATACGAGGAAAATCTAATATCACGATAATTTGGCCTATAATTGCGATACACGATATTTCACAATATGTTTAAATCACCTTCAAAAACATAACAGTGCATAACATTGCACTTTTATATTCAGAAAAACTAACAGTTTAAAATTCAAAAGATTTTATTTTACCCAGCTAAATGCTTTTCACTAATAATTCTGCCAAATTACCTCTTTCTGACATTTTTCAGATGTTTTTGCTTCGTTTCGGGAGGGAAACAAAGAATTTACAATGAAAATAATAGAGTCTTCAAAACTTTTGCCTGTTGGAGGTTGCAGTAAAATAAACCATTTTTACGTTTTTATTTTATTAAAAAAAAGTATGTGAAAATGAGGAAAATAAAGAAACAGGAAAAATCAATTAACAAGACCAACATAAGAATCATGTATATAAAGTTCTTTACCTTAAAAGTCTCAGAAATGTCAAAATGAGCCTTGGTAGTTCTAGCGTTAAAAGCGCAGTCATCTCTTTTTAAGTCGAAGCCTGTTCTGAAAATATAAACAAATTTTCTTTCCATATGAAATAAAAGCACCTAAAGCATGCAATACTTTTTTGTATAAATACTAGGGGTGTAAATAATAATCGTTTTCTATCGATGCATCGATCCAACAGCTGACGTTCCGATGCATTGATACGTCCATTTGCTCCTGGGCGTAATTCTCCCTCCCGTGCTGCGGTGGCGCTAAAAATTTTGCCCTCCTACCGCGCTTCCTAGTTATACCCTTACAGCAGTTCGTTGCAGTAAGTTTGACACAGACATTTTTAAATTATGCTCAATATTAAAGCGTGGTCTCTGCTACACACTGTGGGTCTAGATACGGCCGAGGCGGCGAGGAAGTGGCGGCGAGTT